GCAGCTTTCAACTACCTGAAGTGGGGTTCGAAAGAGGATTGAGCTAGGCTGTTTTCAGTGGTAGCAGATGACAAAACAAGGAGCAATGATCTCAAGTTGCAGCAAGGGAATTTAGGTTAGATACAAGAAATAATTTTCTTACCAGGAGGGTAGTAAAACACTGGAGCAGGTTACCCAGAGAGGTTGTGGAATCTTTATCCTTGGAGGTTTTTAAGAATTGGCCTGGGATGATCTACTTAGGAATGCTCCTGCTTTGAGCAGGGGATTGGACTAGATGCCCTCCTGAGGTCCCTTTCAACCCTAATTTTCTATGATTATTTTGGAGAGCAAAAAGGTAAGGAAAACGAGCCCTTTGCCATCAAGTGACATACTCTGAGTGCATCATGCAACACTCCTCATTTAATGTGTGGCCACAGACAAGATACGGTATTGAGAATATGTGACATTAAGTAACTTACGACTATGTAATACTTCACTTTTACAGAGGTTAGAAATTGTACAAGTAACCTTAACGATGACATTTCCTAACTTTTGAGTGATTACATTTTGCAACTTTAATGTTCTCTTACTGAATAGGTCTGCCCCCCTCCCCTTTCTTTTTTTCATTTTTAGGTCTAATTTCAAAATGAAAAAGACAAAAATCCCATCATTTGGAATTGCACTGAACCCCAGCTTCGGTCATCAGAATGGTCTGGATCTTTGGAGCCACAGCAGAGACATCTACCATGAAAATAGCCACTGTAGGCCATTATCTTCTCTATGGACCAGCCATTAAAGAAGCATGAGACAAACACTGCCTTATCTCTGGACAGTGGAACCACCTTCACTGCAGTAATATATTGCAATACCGCAAAGACTTATTCATGTATTATGAGAAGCCCAACAGATTACTTAAAAGCATAGTCAGTCCTTAAAATATATTGCAATATAAGGATAAAATAAAATCATGATTAATGGATTCCCAAAACTGCCAAATGATGTGCCAGATGCTCTTAAGCAAGACTTTTTCATGTGATATAAAGGAGTTATAACAAAATATAATTGGCATTTGAGTATTTCAATTTAGTAAGAGAATTAGCTACAGTCATATTTTAGGAAAACTGTAATTAGAGTCATATCTAATGAGCCTAGAAGATGAACTACACAGAAAGAGCTATCAATCACATACATTAAAAATGTTAAAGTAAACAAGGCTGAAAATGGTCTCATCTCGTGTTAGTTTTAAAATATATTTCTAATTTAATTTTGTTAATGAATTCTGTATTGGCATTTCAGTCTTTGTGTAGTTATGGGAAGCTATGGTTCCACAATAAATATTTGTATCTATTGTTCTGAATGTCTGATCTTATAATGGATTTATATTCCACTTAGAACAAACAGAAAGCAAATTTAAATTACTAGCATATCATGTCATCAGGGGATTCTGGTGACATTATAAACCATAGCAGCACAGTTCACAAGTTTGCTTAGCAACTCACATGCTCTGATATAATCTAATAATTCAAACTTTAACTATTTACATAAAGCACAAACCTAGCATCCCAAAAACTTATTTGCTACTCTTCCACCTGAGCCCACAATACTATCTGCTACTTGAGGCTTCCTATTGTATCTATTAGTAACTATTACAGGTGCTATAGAACAACGTAATCTATGGAGGTGCAAGGCTGTAACCTGCAGTGAAACCCCAAGCTAATTCTGCCCCTGCAAGGTTTGCAGCTGCATTGTCAAGTCAGCAGTGCCATATATGAACTAATAAGCAGGGCTAAACACTGCTGCCTTGCGCATCTTTAGTCATTTACTCCAAGAGACATCTTTGCTTCTCTAGCAGCCATAGATTTTAATTCCTCAATTGATATTTTAAAACCTAACCAATAGTAGTAGAATAGAGCTTGCTTTTATCTGCCACAGGTAAAGGTTAAGGTTTTGTCTACTACAAATGTGTTTTAAAATTAATTTAGCTTAATTGGCATACAATACTGTGGAGATCTTCTAAACTAGTATAAACCAGGCTTATTTTGTTTTAGCTCAAGTCAGTCAGGAATCTTTCAGGATAAAATGAAGTAAGCCACTCAATCCAAATTAAAAGTATCCATGAGATTTCCACTGGTTTAATTAAGTCTGTCTAAAACTAATTAAACTAAATTGGTGCATCCTTTTTTTTTTTTTGCAAAAGTAATGCCTAACAGAGCATTATTAAAAGATTTTAATGCAGAGCAGGGGCAACTAGAAATGAGAGGGGATGGCTATATATAATGCAACCTCACAAAGTTCTACTTGCCCACTCAACTCACACAGTGGAAATCTTTTTTAATAAGCAAATAATCTGTGATTCAGTTTTTCATTTTTCATCACGATGTTCATATTTGAACAAGCAGACTTTGGTGATGGTGCCAGTAAATATTAACATTCTACAAGCACGATCCATGTATGAACCATGATACACTGCTTTTCTGAAAATCTTTATATTTCTGGCTTTCATGACTGAGGCCTAACTTCTTATGAAAACCTAATTTTTGTAATTATTACCTTCAAGACCATTTATTTGACATAAAGCAATGTTTAAGGATATCAGTGCTGTAGTTCTATGACACTTCATATAGCAGCACCTCTAAGCAACGAAATTCATGCCGTTACCGCTACAACTTTCCACATCAAATCAAGTCCCAGTAAATCAGTGAAGTTTGCTGTATTTTTTTAGGATTTTGTATTAAGCTGACAAGGACAGGAGAGAATAAATGACACTCTATTCTGTACCACCACTCCAAAGGCAAACTATAGTTATAAGAAGTGCTGTGTCACTACATTCACTGTGATTTGAAGAGTTCTGTTTGTTCTTCCATCAATCCAATCTGATACTACTTAGGACAGTGGATGGCTACCACTGCAAGACATGGACAGGAATATCCTGGTTCAGGCCCAACATGGCAGGGCACCAAGATGCACCAAGGCAGGGGGCAGCTGGAACCTGTCAGTGTTGTTGCTACTTCCCCTACACCACCTCCTACCTCTTGGCTGCAGTGCAGGCACAACTGGGGCCACACTTCCTAGCCCCAGTGCAGCTTCTCACCCACTGAAAGCTGAACCCACACTGCAGCCATGGCAGCAGGGAGGCAGAGGGGGAAGAGGTCTAGGGAAAAACAGCAGCAGTAGTGTAGGCATAGCTTCCAGCTGTCTGGTCTCGGCACAGTTCCTCACTGACCTGCCCCAGAGGAGGCACAAACAAAACAATCTGGCTACACAGGCTAAATCAGGCCTGCAGGCATACGTTGCCAATCTCTGACGGACGAGGTTAAGATACTGCTCTGTATTGTACTACTGCAGCTGGAAGTCCATAAGGAAGAACTCACATAGCTGATATTGTCAGTTACCTATATCTCCCTAGGACATAAATGAATACTGGAAAGGAGTACAAACCTGTCTCCTGTCACTTCCCCATGATCCTGCCTACATGTTAACCACGAGCAAACATTTCCAACGCCACAGCAATCCTGGCAGTGCACTACCCAGGTCCATGCCAGATGTGCATATTGCTAATTTAAAAAGTGTTTGTACAATATTTAAAACAACTATTTATGAAAAACATACCATTATCTGCATGTGTGTGAAGGGGGAAGACAGGGAAAGTTATTCCTCAAGGCCAGCCTACTTGGATTGAGTAAGAAATTATTTTGATTCTTTGTCCTTCAAAAAAGTACTTATCAGTGTTTTAAGTGGGGCAATTCAAGGAAGATTTTTCTGTATTCATGCAAGGTCAAAGATGCTTCAAAATTGCAGTGACAACAATTCTCATGCTGCCTTGGAATTCATTAAAATGTTGGGTTAACTGCGTCTTTCAAATGTCCTCTCTAATATCTCATAATCTTGACATTCCCTATTACCATTCTGCTCACAGAGAGAGTGAGGGTGACATGAGATGTCTGGTTCTGGGAAGAACAAAATGTGCAGCACTAGTGTATGCGATCATGTTAAGGAGACAGTGATTACTAAAGCCCCTCACATTTTGCTATCGTAAGTAGAGTCTGCTAGATCTGACTGTAGGTTGCAATAGACTTTACAAAAAAACCCCCAAAAATAAAACTAATCACATTTCTATTAGGGTTGGTTTATGAACTGTTCACTCACTGTGAAGAAAAAAAAAACCATCACACAACTTAAGAAATAAATTATGCAAACCTAAAATTGAGCCTTTTACTGGACTTTTTTATCAGACTAAGTTCTTAGGTACTTTTAATGTTAAGTAAATACAAATTACATGGGTTTGAAGAAATCCTGACTCATTCTAAAGATTTTATGTTAGTATTTTGGAACTTAAGCTTGGTACTACTTGAGTCAATGGGCTAACTTCCAACAGACTAAGTGGAGCAAGATCCAGCTCTTCAGTGTGCTGCCTGAATGCCGTGGTATCAATTTTATGAGCAGATGCACTCATTCAGAACCATTTCAAAAGGTCAGCATCTAAGCCTTCATAACTAACCGCTACTACAGCAAACTGATTCCCATTAACTTTTATGACTCAACGTCCATACATAATATACATTATTTTTAGCCTCAACTTGGAAATCATTACAGAAAAAAGGAACCTATTACAAAACTAGTTAGTAAAAGAAACATGAGATGAATTTCCTAGCTGAACTTTAAATGGCTCCAGTAAAATCTGTTAGCTATGCATGTCACTAGGTGGAGATCATTCTTCCTTATAGATGATTTACCTGGAACATATGGGGAAGGGCTTTTTCTATTACCTTAGGTATGCATGCATGGTATGGACTATGAGCCACTTCCTGCAGGTAGAGGTCTGAAACAGCTGATGTCAACATATAATTGCAGAAACACAAGGGCCAAAAAGAACCCTAAAGCAACTTAAACATATGTATAAGAATAGTGTATAACACTTGTTTTTAATTTTGTTTTTAAAGCATATTGCCATCCGAATGATTAATATACACAAAACATACCAGAATTGTACACATGTACAGTACACGGTAAAAGTTACTCACTTCTCCCACCACTTCAATGATGTCACCAACTTTTAACTCCAGCTCATCTTCATTCTGAGGCATGTAACTGAAAGCTACCTGACATCTTCTTCGTCTGTTTCTCTCTCCTAGTTAAAAGTAAAAGAAGGAAGGGGAAAAGTTCAATTAAAATTTAACTATATTAAGACTCCCTGAACAAGTAACATAGCTACCTAAAACCCTGAACAAAACCCAGCTGTACTGCCTCCTAACCATAGTCCATGGGAAACAGCTGACGATGCAGCAGCATTCTACTCTGAGCACCGATAAACATTTTGAAGATATGCAATGCTTATTAAATGAACTTCAGATCAATCTACAGGAAAAGACTGACATTCAGAAATGAAACATATTAGCATATAATTCCCTCCAACCATTTTTGTCTTAGATGCAAATTACCATGCAAAAATATCTGTTGATTTAAATATGGTGTCCAGGTAAAAATAAAAATGCCTGGCAATCAGCTTGAGTTCCATTCCAAAGACAACTGCATACCTATACACTAACATATGATGATAACAGTGATTTAAATTTAGTCAAGCTGGAGAAGGAGAAGAACAAAGAGGAAGCAGAAGTAGTGTTAGTAATAGTTGTCATCAGCTTTGGAACTTTTCCTTGCTAAACAGATTATCTGTAGCACAGAAAGGGAAGAAACAAACTTCTTACAATTTACTTGCTAAAGCATACTGCTTACCTTCCTGTTAGAAAAACCCAGTAAGAGTAACAACATTTTTGGATGTTGGGGTGGAGGAGGTAGAATGAGAGGAACCATAAAAATACAGCTCCTTCCCTAACTAATAATACAATTGCTTGTCCAGATGCCTTGCAATGTATGAGCTAAACCACATGCCAAATGAATACACTGACAACATATTTATTCATATCATGAATAATTTTTAAATAACTTATTAACTGGAATTTTTATCCTTCTCATCCCCCAAATACATGCAGACACACACGCACCAGGAATGTTGTCATATTTATTGTCAAAATAGCTACTGGCCTCTATTAAAAAAGAGAAAAGTTACACAATCAGCATAGCTTTCCTCCAGAAAAATAATCCCTAACAGCACTAAAATGCTCCTTAGGATAAACGGAGTAAAGCTATATTACTGATGCCTTTGTTTTCAAACAAATTTCCAAATGGAAAAAAGGAGAAGGAGCGATAGTCTTCACACAAACACCTTGTAAAGCAACTCCAATTGCAACAGTAGCTAAGGGCATTTATAGATGTGCTGTGGGGTGGGGGGGAGGTGGGGCACTTTAATCAGAGCAGCTCTTGAGCCACTCTAATTAAAGCGCCTGGAGTGTCACATGTATCAGTATCCCCGTGCTGGAAAATGGTGGCAGAGGTGATTTAACTAAAGCTCACTGAGCAAGTTTTAAAGTGCCCCACTGCCATTTTTCAGCATAGGGACAGTGATACATATGACACTGGAGTCTGCTGGAGGACAGTAATTACCATGCTCCAGCAGACTTGATGAATCGAGCCTGCTCCAACGCGCTGTAATTACAGCATGTCAGAGCAGCTTCCCTGTATGTGTATAGGCACCTTAAGTTATTAACTTCTGCCATCCACAGGTTTAAGAGAAATATTTCACAAAAACATCAAAAGATGCCATTTACTGGATCAGCCCATAGGTCCATCTAGCCCAGTAGCCTCTCTCTCAGTGGCATATGGTGGATGCAGAGAAAACAGGGTGTGTCCAGAATCTGCTACACCCTGCTCCTCTCCCACTGCAGTGTCCATTGTCATTGAACTATTTTTACTCAACATCCGAGCTTTAAAAATAAACATATTTTAATGCAATTGAACTAAACTTGGTCAGTTGTTGTTTTCATAAAGATGACAATTTATTCCTCTCCACTTAAACTAGTGTGATGCTAGGATGCAGCCTAATAAAATCATCAAATAAATTAGAGACAATAAAATAAATTCTACACAGAACACTTTCTGAATTGTGAAGATAGTAATTTTTTCCTAAAGATAGAAATCCTCATTACATGAACGTCAGCACTTAACAAGTGGTGGCTGTTGACTGATTTCATAGACTAAGGCACTTTAGTTGCCATGGTATTTTATAATCAATAATGTGTGGCTCTAGGATAAACATCTTTGATGTCGCTAGGAGAATATGGAATATGAACAATGCAGGATAGTACTGAAACAGCATGGATCTTCTTTTCTGAATATTTTCTTAAGGTATTTTTATGGTATAGTTGTAAATGTGCATCTTCCTTCCATTTTCAATTAGCACTGATTCATACACAACAGAAAGATTATTACTCAAGTACATGAAGACAATAAGACTCATACTCTCTCTCTCCAGGGATCCTTCAAACATTTCCTAGGTTTGGAAACATATGCGCCTCTAACAACTACGCATTCTGTCCTCCTCCCATACTAGCTTCCTTTGCACGCCCCACATTTTCCTTTTCGTTCAGCATTTACCGGTACTGTCAGTAGCCCATTTGTTTTATTGGTCACAGGTACACTTCCTGCAAATTGTCCTAGGACAGGATCATGGAGAACCCTTAGTCTCTTACTTTGACTCATGATGGGTCTCTAACAACCCAATCTTCAGTTTATAACGTATTTACTGACTACTACCTAGTAGTCCAATCACTTTGCCTAATCATGTTATCTACTTCCAAAATTAGTTTATTCAAAGCAGGGATGAATGATGAAAAATCTCTTGCTGTAAAAAGAAAGAAGAGAAAGTACTAAATAACCAACAAGCATATATCCCCGTGGACTACGAACTGAAGTTGCACATAAACTGGTTTACGTAATCAGAAACTGGTTTAAACCTACAACAGAACAAAAGTTCAGTGCACACAGACCAGTTTCAAAATGGCTGAAAATGGTTTAAGATCAAACTAGTTGAATGTAGTATCAGATTTAACTGATTTGGGTCAAACTGGGTTTATGAAACTTCTGTCCCAGACCCCTTCCTGGTACAATCTAAATCATAGTCCCCCAACATCCCAGCATGCTTTCTAGCCCTGGGCTGGGCTGTGCTGTCTGCTCCAGCAGAGAAGGGTTGGGGGGTTGAGTAGGGGGGGAGGCAGGGACTGCTCCCCACAGGCAAACCCTGGCTGGAGTCTGGGGCCAGAGAAGGGGTTAAACTTTACTTTCCCTGGGTACAGAACTGCCCTGCTAAAAAACTTATTGCTGGCTGCAACTGTGGACTACAAATTCCAGAAGCACCTGAAGCAGGAAGATTAAATGATGAGCAACCCTGCAGAGTCCTGCTGATGTGACTGTGGACTGCAAAGCCCAGAGACCTCAGGGGCATTGGGAAGTGGAAGCAAACACACAGGCATGCTGGCTGCATGCCAGAGAGCCATGCACTAGTGCTCCCTGGCTTCTGGCCTGAGCCACTGCAGGCATGTGGCTGCATTTCCTAAATCAAAAGTGAATGTCTGTTCAGTTGTTTCTCAGTTTAATCTCTGCATTTTAGACTAACCTGCAAAGACTGAATTGATTCAGCCTCGGGCTTTTGACTTTATGGCTAAGTACAGGCAGTCAAAGTCATTGTTTTAAATACTCAGCTAGAAACAATACACAAATACCAATTCAGTGATGTGGGGAGGGGAAAAGGAGGATTTTGGCCCAGATCCTCAGAGAGATTTTGGCGTGGGGAGGTACCAAGCAGAACTGACATTCTCATAACCAAAGCAAGGCACCAAGGTTGCATATAAAATGAAAGAAAAGTGGAGTTAAGTCCCTCAGAATGGGACTCTCAATACCCCATATGCTGAGTAAGGAGATGCCCATGCTAGCCAACAGGAACTGCTATAGTGAGGGATGCATCTTAAATCTTATCTGCTTCCTGGACTTTGGCTAGTTAGGCAACTGTGTGAAACCAGGATTTATAGACTGAAATCACTTCCTGGACTAAAGACACCCCAATTGATCCTTTGGATACAGATAACTAATTCCCCCTGGCCACAGGAGAAGGAAGGAGTGGTAAGAAGACATGATGATTACCTTTTACAGAACAGTAAAAGCACTAGCTCCACAACTAAGACTCAGGTTCAATACCCCAACTCAGTTTGAGGGGGCTCAAACCCCACCTGCCATCTGCCAGGAGAGTGCATCAGCTGTTGGGATACAAGCATTTTGCACTACAGAGTTAGATAAAATATAGAAACAGTATTGAGACCAGGGGCCAGATGCTAAGACTCCACCTTCTAAGGGAATGGCTTCATTATAATGCAGTAGTCAAGCCTGCTCTCTCTTTGGCCCTGTGAAGCTTGTATTCCTTTCTGTTTCATAGTTTCATAGTTGGTAGGGTGCGAAGGGACCTGAGCAGATTATCAAGTCTGACCCCCTGCCATGGCAGGAAAAGGTACTGGGGTCAAACGACCCCAGCAAGGTGTTCGTCTAGCCTCCTCTTAAACACCCCCAAGGTAGGAGCCTGCACCACTTCGCTTGGAAGTTGGTTCCAGATCCTAGCCGCCCTGACAATGAAGTAGCGCCTCCTGATATCTAGCTTAAATCTACCCTCTGCCAGATTGTGACCATTATTTCTAGTCACTCCTGGTAGTGCTCGGGGGAACAGTGACTCCCCCAATGCCTGCTGGTTCCCTCTGACTAGTTTGTAACAGGCCACTAGATCCCCCCTC